ATTTCTTTTATGAGAATTCTCTCAGAAGACGAGAAGCTAAATTAATTAGACCGTATTTAAAAGTTTAAAGCTGGCGAATGGCTTGAAATCATTATGGTGGGTTTCATTAAATATTCGAAATATATTATATTTTTATTTTTATTACACACTCTTTTCTCTGTTTTAAATAAATTAGAAAATTCTTCACGTCAGTCCCGTCTGAAACCGGAGTCAAGAAATATTCATTTTCTGAAATTCCGAAGCAAATCGCCGGAGCATGATTGCTACTGACGAAACGAATGCATTTCGCTGCATAATACGTGAATGCAATATTTAAGAAGCGAAGCGATCGTACGGACGTACCGCGCGCGGATTAATCGAGTAACTCGATCTACGACGCATTAATCTTGAACTGAAGCGGCATCGATCGATCGACGCCGGTGGGGACCGAAATAACGAGCCGATATAATTTCAAGCGTAATTTCATCCTCCACTGGGCGCGATGCGATGCGGTGCGATGCGATGCGATGTGATGCGATGTTGCGAGCCGGTACGCAATTTTACGTGCGCTGAGCACGCATGTTGTATATACGTGAATCGCCGTCGTTTCGTCGATCATTATAATGTCGTGCATTGAAAATATGGGAGCGATGGCGGATAATTCTGTTGGCTGAAGTCTTTTGTAAAAAACGGCACGACAAATATATGAGCTCTCTTTGCCGCAAAAAAATTTAATTTAACGTTAGTATTACTGTGGAATTTAATATTATTTTTAACAAAATTTTAACACATTAATAAAGATCTCGTATGTGATTAAATAGAACATTGATCTTGATTACGAATTAATTTAATTCTGTTTAATGTTAAAGAATATTTTCTTTATATGAACCTTACGTAATTGTAAAATTATATACAAGTATGTATTTTTAGAATATATGTAACTTCACGCGAAGATAGAAGATCTTTTTATAAACTTGAAAGAGACATATTTCCTCTTTTCAAGGTAATTCGTTCGCGCAAATAATTTTATTTCTTTACACTTGCTGTTATTTTGTGTATGTACATTTTTAATTGCGATACAATATAATCAAATTATTATTAATTAACGAGCAGCAAGGTCTTCCTTCCCGTCGGTGTACTTTTGCCTCGCACTGTAT